TTGCCACCGAAGTGGGGGGCAGTGAGGTGGTTGGTGGGCCCCTGGTGCTCTTGGCCGCTCCCGCTGTGGGTGCACACCAGGCGCCACTCTCGGTGGGCTCCACCCCGCGGGGCGCAGCTGCTCGGCTCCCCCCCGGCTTTCCCTGTCCTCCCGCCCCTTCTCCCTCTCTCCTCCGCCGCAGCTGTTTGGGTCAGCCCGCTCGAGATTTTGGCGATCCGCTCCAGACTCTTGACAGGTGAGGCCGCCCAGTTGGAGGAGGGGGGGGGAGGACGACGAGAAGGAGGACGATGATGAGGAGGGGGACGAGGAGGAGTGGGATGGAGAGGATGAGGAGGGCGAGGAGCGAGAAAGGGAGAAGAGGGGGAGAAGGAGGGACCTCTCTCACGCCGAGGCTGAGGCTGGCTCGTGTACACGCCCCGTCATGGTCTTTTTATTATTCGTGCTGTCTGTTGTTGTTTTTCCCGCCACCCAGACAAACTTTTTCGGTTCCTCCCCAGAGAACTCGATCCAGGCTTCTCCTCTCTGCTTCCCTTCTCCCCGTCCCTCATCCGCCCCTCTCCGGCTCACAGTCCCGACCCCGATCTCGCTCCCCGTCCCTCCCCTTTCCTCCCATCCTCTTTTCCCTCTTCAGCCTGGACCCTCTCCCTCCCTCCCTCCCTCCCATCCCTCCTCCTTCGGCTCCTGCCCCCGCCCCTCTTCTCTGCCCCCGGCCCCCTCCCTCTCCCCACAGGGCGGCTCGAGCTGCCCGCAGGCTCTGCCTTCCCGCAGACCCTGCCCGCGGCCCCTCGTCCTCCGCACCGCCGCCTCGCCGTTCTGCCACCTGCCGCCGTGCGACCCCGCCGCAGCCGGAGCACCGCTCCGCTGCCCCCGCCGCGAGCGCGGGCGCCGCAGTCGGCCCCCCTGCCGCCGCGGCCCCCGTGCCCTTCGGGTCCCGCTGCTCCCTGGGCCCGCTTCGGCCCGAGGCCTGCATGGCGCTGTCGTGCATCCTGCCACGGCCCATGCGGCTCGGCCTCGACCACGTGCCGACGCCGCCCGATCCCCCCCCCCCCACACACACGTCGATCCGACCAGGGGTGCCCTCGAGGGCGCGAAGCTGTTCGCGCTTCGCGCGTCGCGGTCCTCGTTCCTTCTCCCCCTCCTCCTCGCCCTCGTGTTCTCCCTTTGGGGGGGCGGCGCGAGAGCGCGAAGCTGTTCGCGCCTCGCGCTTCGCGCAGCGCGCAGCGCGAAGTTGGGAGCCCTTAGATTAGACGCTGATCAGGAGGGACAAAAAAACAGACACAATTAATCTTCGATTCCACAGAAAATATGGGAAAACATTGGAAGGGGGGGGGGAAGACAAAAACCCAGAAAATATGGGAAAACATGGGGAATATTGTTATTTGTGTGTATTCATTTGTGTGTCCCAGGGCCCCTTCAGCTGACAGATCCTCCCCCCTCCTCGGGAGAGTCGGCCACGCGCAGACGGGGGCATGGGGGACGGGGGAAGGCTGCTTAGAAGCACCCCCCTGCTTCCTAGAAGTTCTGCGGGCCTCCTCCAGAGATATACAAGGCCGGCGCCTCCGAGGAAGCAGGCTCCCTCCGAGCAGCAGACGCCCCTCCCAGAAGCAGGCTCCCTCCAAGAAGCAGACGCCCCCGAAGTGTGCGCCGCCGAGAGAGGCACGAGGGCCGAGAGACCAGCCCCGGCCCTGGACGGGGCACCCTCGTGGCCTCCGCGCCTGGGCCCTCGCGACTCGACGGTGACAGCTCCTGCCTCGTCCTCCTCCGCCTCCTCCTCCGCCTCCTCCTCCCTCCTCCTCCCTCCTCCCTCCTCCTCCTCCTCCTCCTCCTCCTCCTCCTCCTCCCTTCGCTCGGGGTAGCTCCACGGGGCCTGGCGCCTTCGGCGACAGGGCTCGCGCTCCTGGCTTTTTTGCGCTCCCGCGGCCACGCCTCGACTGCATTCCGCCTCCGGGCCCCCACAGCCCCGCCGAGGGCCATGGCCTTGCCGTGTGCGGCCTCCTCCCGGTCTGGCTGGCCGCCGACGTGCAAGCGAAGGCCTGGGCCCGGGATAAGCCCGTGGATGCGCTCGGTGGCGACGGTGTGTGTGTCCGGCTGCCTGCAGCAGGTCCCGCCACCGTGCCGGCGCAGCATTTTGCGTGGCGACCCGTCGGACACCGCCGAGAAGGCCGTCGTATGTGACTCTTGTCGCCCCTAGGAGGAGGACAGCAAGTTTGATGATGATGATGATGATGATGATGATGATGATGATGATGATGATGATGATGATGATGATTATGATGATGACGAAGCTGTTGAAGGTAATGATTATGATGATGAGGATGATGAGGAGGAGGAAGAGGGCGATGAGGAGGATAATCAGGAGGAGGAAGAGGGCGATGATGCTGCTGATGATGTTGATGAGGAGGAGGAGGAGGAGGAAGGAAGGAAGGAAGAAAGGAAGAGGAGGAGGTGGAGGAGGAGGACGATGAAGGCCGTCACATGTGATACTAATTCGTCCCTTGAAGGAGGCGCCCCAGGAGAGGGACGATGATGGTGATGGTGATGGTGATTGTAACTGTGATGATGATGCTGATCCTGATGCTGCAGCTGATGACGATGATGTCAACGATGATGGTGATGATGATGCTGATGATGATGATGATGAGGAGGAGGAGGCAGATAAGACAGATCATACCACAGATAATGACGAAGGGGTATAGGAGGAGGAGGAGGAGGGAGAGGAGGAGGAAGAGGATTTTGTTGGAGAGGAGGATCAAGTGATGAGTTTGATCTGCCATAATGGCTGATGAGGATGATGATGATGATTATTCTGATGATGATGATGATGATGATGATGATGATGATGATGATGATGATGATGATGATGATGATGATGATGATGATGATGATGATTATGATTATGATTCTGATTCTAACATGTAACACGTTGCTCGGTGTTGTTTCGGTGTATCTCTCCTCGTCTTGGTTGTCGCTTTCTTCCTTTAACGTAAGATTATCTCCTGCCCTCTTGGATGCTTCTTGAGGGCCTATTCGGGGCCTCTTGGGGGCGTCTTGGGAGCTTCTTGGGCCCTCGGGGGGGCTTCTTGGCTCGTCTGAGGGCGCTCTTGGGCCTTCTGGCGCCTTCCGGTCCGTCTTGGGGCCATCTTGAGGTTCTTTAGTGCCGTTTTGGGCGTCTCTTGGATTGTCTTGGGGCATCCTTGGACCGTCTTAGGACCGTCTTGGATGCATCTTGGACCATTTTGGGGCCGTCTTGGGGGGCGTCTTGGGTCCGTCTTGGGCGCCGTCTTGAGAGCATCTTGGAGGTCCCTGAAGCCATTTTGGGTTGACGGAGGCCCGAAAAGGCGAGAACGACCCAATCAGTCACATGCATGAGACCGTAGCCATTTTGGCTCAAGAACTTCGGGCTCATGTGATTTTGGTTCAGGCTGGTTGGGCTCACATGTGTCCATGCAATGTCGACAGGAAGGCCGGCGATGTTGGTTGTCACGACGGTCGCTTCACGATGTTGCGCGGCCTTTGTTTCTCAATGCATCAGATTTCCCAGAAGCTTTCGAAACACTACCCACACTCGGCCGCTGTTTGTACGCTGGATCAGCCCTCGATAAGCTGAGCCCCTCGCGGCGGGGCAGCGCTCTAGCGGTCATCGCCCGTGATATCCTAAGTGGCGTGCAGTCGGACAAGTGTTTTTCAGACATTGCTTACGGAATGGGCCAACGTGTGGGAGGCCGTTTTGCATACAATTGGTTATGCGATGGCCGCAGAGTTGCGTGCAAAAGTTCGTTACTTCATTGGTGTCGAACTCGTGGAATATGGTTGTTCCATTTCCACAACGTGAAGTTTTCACTTCAAGATGTTCGTTCATCGCATGCGTTCGATGATCTGATGCTCTTGTTGTGTTCACCGCGTCGTCTGTACATCTATCAACACGATTTTACGCTTGGAGTTTGCACACGAGGTAGTGGCACAGCTCCCGCTGGCCATGGAGTTATCCTGCGAGGTGCAGGCAAGGCAAAATTATGGTCTGAGGCGATGGATAGCATATTGCACAAGCTGGACTTACCATCCAATGGATGTCGCCATATTGCTGATGTTCCTCTTCAGGACCTCCGAGTCACAGCAACCTGTGAGTTGTACACGGACCAGATATTGGAGCTGGCGTATAGTGGTGTGCCCTTATCGGGCTTAACTCCGACGCAGCGTGGGTTGCAGCTTCAGGCACTAGTGAGGAAGGTTGATGAAGCCATTAATCCACATGCAGAGTTCTTAGATCCAGATCGTGGATTTCGTGTCAACGGTTCCAAGCGTAGCACTCATCAAGCTTCATACGATTGGTTGCGGGGCGCAGTTCGTGTTGAGTGCAAATCAGCAAGGATGACATGGACGACGTCTGGTCGGTCCAGCCGATGGATTGTACGATTCGGCCACGTCAAGTTTTTGGCTGGAGCGTTTGATCAGCTCTTACTGGCGCTGTATTCCCCCCGAGGCGTCTATATCTATCTGCACGACGGTAGCTTCGGAGTTGCCACGACAGGAGTCAATTCCCAAGTATTTGGGCATGGTATTATGGCAGTTGGCCCCACGGGTGAGGAACATCACGAGATTGCCTTAGATGCCATTCTGGCAAAATTTGATGCATCGGATTGTCGGCTTCTTGCCGTTGTGCGGTGGCGTTGACCCAAGTAGATGCTTTGGCCGTTCACGGCGGACACAGTAGAGGGTGGACTGTAAAAAAAGATAAATAAAAGATAAAGCAGTCACATGCATGAGAGAAAACGCAGCGATTCTGAAGTACTCGGGCCCCCATAGCAGGTGCTCTTGGAGCCCTCTTGGGGCCGTATCGGGCGCTTCTTGGGCCGACTTGAGGCCATGTTGGGCCGGCTGGGGGCCATCTTGGTCCGTCCGGGCGGCGTCTTGGGCCGTTTTGGCGGCCTCGGTGGCCTGCCTGGGGCCGTCCTGAAGGCCACCTTGGGCCGCCCGGAGGCCTCGGAGGGCCCCTCGGCGGAGGCGTCGGGGCGCCAGAGGGGGACCCCCCCCCGTGAAGGGGGGGGGGGCGCGGGCGGTGCGCGCGGCGCTCTGCTGCAGGACTGCGGCAGAAGCCCCCAGACGACAGCACGTGGCTGAAGTCGGGCGTGCCCCCCTACGGGAGGAAACTATTTTGAGATAGTCAAACAGTACTCAGGGGACGGTTTTTCTGGCATTCTTCGACTACGCAGCACCCCGCAATTGCGGACAGGAGTGAGGGGGCGGGCGCGGGGTGGGTCGCGAGTGGGTCGCGGGTGGGTCGTGGGGTGGGTCGCGGGTGGGTCGCGGGTGGGTCGAGTATTTTTTGTCCATGTTTAGTTATCCCTCCCAAATCCGCCTGTAGGAGGACACGCCCGCTCACCCTCCGGGTCTTCGCCTCCGGCTCCTGTCCAAGGCGTTCTTTTTCCTGTGCAAGCTCCTCGGCACCGCCTGCACCCCGGCCCGCCCTCCGGCCGCCTGAGGCCCCGCCCGCCTGTGCTCTGTCTCCCCAATTAGAGCTTTGCGTGGCCCGCCGAGCTTTTAACCGGAAGAGGCTCGCTCTCGACCCGCAGACCAAAAAAGTAGGAGGACACGCGCGACCTGACCTTCGGCTCTTTCTTCTCCGTCGCCCTCCGCTCCTCCCCCCGCGAGCACGACCGATCGCAACCACTTCGGCCCGTTCAGGGAACCACGTCGGCGTGGCTGCCATCCAGCTTTCGCCCTGCATAGGAGTACAGATGGACCTCCCCTGCGCTGCGATCGGTCCGTTTGCAGCGGCTGTCATCGGTCCGAAGTGGTCCCTGAGCGGCCCGAAGTGGTTGCGAGTCAGCGAGCGAGAAGCTTTACAGTCGGGGCCCTGAAAAAGGAACCCTTTTCGTTGAGGAGGGGCTCCGCGTTCCTTAAGTATTTCACAGCTTGCCTCAGGTTTTCCTTATGTTTTCGATCGGAAATCGCAGTTTAACTTATAGAAAAAAGGGGCCTCGTTTCTTATTTAGGGTTCCTTAGATCAACGCCCCGACTGTGCGCCATTCGGCGCGCGGGCAGTTGAAACAACGTACCGCCAGGGCAAGAAGGTCAGCGTGCAGTGCGGCCGTCAAGCGCAAGCTTTGCCGCAATATGACGCCACGCCCGAAGTGGTTGCGATCGGTCTTGTTCTCCTTCCCTCCGAGCCTCCGCGTCCGTGCCAACTCCCGCTCTTCCTGCTAATTACGCTCCTCTGCGGCGCGCACGTCGTGTGCGTCGACCCCCCCCCCCCCTCCCCAACCGCTTCCTCGGCACGGCCGCGGGGGATCCAGGCCCGGGTCCAGGTCCAGGCCTGCCCCCCCCCCCCCGCGGACCCATCGGTGGCATGTGGCAGCTTTATTGGCGTCAGCCCAACATACCGATCTATGTGTGCGTCGCCCCCCGAGGGGCGACGCGCGCACCGAGACTTGTGGTACATGCGTCGTGGCTGGCGCTTTCTGGCCACACCGCTCGGGAAACGATCTACGACAAGATGTATATGCTGTATGTTCGGGTCGGGCGCGCGCATCCAAGGAGGACATCTAGCACTGGTATGTCTCTGTGCGTCCCATGTTGAGTCGAGCAAGAACCTTTCCTCTTGCTCCTCGCTTCCCTCCGCCCTGCCTCCTCTCGAGGCAGCGGATTTGTGAAGAGCCCCCCGCCCGCCGAGTCGATGAGACAGCGCCGACTTAGCGTTGGTTAGCGTGGACGAGCGCTGAATCAGCGTCGATTAGCGCCGATTCAGCGTCGACTGGCGTCGATTCGCAAGAGCCGTCAAGATGGCATGGGAGGCTCCCATGAGTTGCCACCGAGCCGTGGCAGATTCTCCTTCTCTCTGCGGTAGGGCTGTGCCTCATGGGAGCGGCGGGGGCCCCAAGCGCGGGTGTGCGAGATTCAGCGCCAGTGCCGCGATCGCTCAAGGTGGAACGATCCACGCAATGCCAGAAACCGCCGCCGACGTCATCGCGACACGAACCCTCCGTATACGCCTTGTGGCCAAGCCAGGAGAGCGCACACACCGATCCTGAGACCAGAGAGGGCCTGGCGAGGATCGGTGTGGGTGTGCACAGCCGACGGGCGCCCTCCTGCTTTGCCTGCTCTGTCGGGCCTCCTCTCTGTTCCGGAGCTGCGTTGTCCCGACGGCTCCCGTGTTTGGAGTGCAGGGAGCAAACCAGCCCACCGCTGCGTGAACCCGCAGCACGATAGGCTCAGGCTTGTGCCGCGTCAACGCGGTGGCGACCCCAGCGCGGGCGTGCGAGGATCTTGCGACCGAAACGCCGCCGGTCGTTCAAGGTTGGACGATCCACGCGGTGCCGGGAACCATCGCCCGGTCGTCACGATACGAACCCGCAGTGCCCTCCTGGCCCCACCGACGCCCCCTCCCGCTCTTGTCCCGAGGCCAGGCGATGGCGGCCCTCCGCTCGCGTTCCCCGCTCGCCGCGCTGGCGGCCCTTGCCCTGGCCTGCAGGCCGCCGCGACGGTGAGCACGACTACTGTCATGGTGGTGATGGTGTTGGCGATGCTGCTGATTATGATGCTGATGCTGATGCTGATGCTGATGCTGATGCTGATGCTGGTGCTGATGATAATGCTGATGCTGATGCTGATGCTGATGCTGGTGCTGATGATAATGATGATAATGCTGATGATGAGGATTAGGATGATGATGATGATAATGATGACGATGATGATGATGATGCTCATGATGATGGTGAGAATGATGATGAGGATGAGGATGAGGATGAGGATGATGGTGATGACGATGACGACGAAGCTGTTGAAGGTAATGATAACGATGATGCTGATGGTAGTGGTGGTGAGGATGATGATGATGCCGATGAGGATGAGGATGAGGATGAGGATGAGGATGATGCTGAGGAGGATGAGGATGATGCTGATGAGGATGAGGAGGATGAGTATAATACTGATGCTGATCGTTACGATGATAACGATGATGCTGATTAGGATGATGCTGATAACGATGATGCTGATGGTAGTGGTAGTAGTGTCGCTGATGATGATTACGCTGATGCTGATCCGGATAGTGGTGATGGAGGTGTTATGAGGATGATGCGATTTATGGTGATCATTCTGATTGTGATGATGATGATGATGAGGATGCTGATTGCGATGATTGTGATGATGATACTGATGATTCTGATGCTGATGATGGTGATGATGACGATGGCGATGGCGATGACGACGACGGAGATGGACACGGTGATGATGAGGATGATGGTGGTGATGATGATGATGCGGATGATGAGGAGAAGCTGGATGAACAGTAGGACAATGGTTGTGATGATGCTGCTGCTGATGATGCCGATAACGATTATGATGATGATGATGATGATGATGATGATGATGATGATGATGATGAAGATGATGATGATGCTACTGGTGATGATGATGCTGATGATGATGATGATGATGAGGATGAGGATGATGATGTTGATGATGATGATGGTGATGCTGATGATGCTGATGATGATGATGATGATGATGATGATGATGATGATGATGATGATGATGATGATGATGATGATTGTAGTGCTGATGATGATAATGTGGATGCGGATGCTGATGACGATGATGTTGTTGATCATGATGAGGATGATGAGGATGATGGCGGCGGTGGCGATGAGGATGACGAGTAGTGTGAGGAAGAGAAGGTGGAGGTGTTTGACGATGGCGTGGGGGAGGAGGTGGGGGAGGGGCGGGTGGATGAGGTGCTGGTTGGGCTGGCCGTTTCTCGGACGAAAGAGGTGCACTGGCCTCCAGGCCGTTTCTCGGATACAGCGCGTCTGGCAGGGTCTTGGCGTGCTTTCGAGCCCGAGGGATTTCTGCAAAGGACGCGGCTGACCACAAACCCCTTCGGGGTGCCGCTGTGGGCGCGGATGGGGGGAGAAGAGCGGGACGCAAGGGCCTTCTGCCATCGCGCCTTCAGGTGAGTATGCAAGTCTTGTCTTCTTCCGTGCCGATGTCGAAGCTTGGGGGCGGAAGTGCACGGTCCCTCTGGATCGGCCGACGGCGGAGGCCGGTTGGGCTCTCGGGTCTTGACCCTGCCTCGCGACCCGGGACTCGAGGCGACTGCGCCCCTGGCCCAGGCGAGTCGCATCGAGCGCCGTCGGATCCGCGTCTTCTGGCGTCCTTGTCGGGGCCTCAGGCCACGAGGACACTGGTCGTTTGGCTTTGCCTCGGGGCTCAGGGGTGAGAGGGGGTGGTGGAGGGCGTCAATCGCTGCGCCCGACTGTGTCGGAGGGTGGGCTGTGCCAGCGTTGGTCATCGACTCTCGCTGGGGTACCCCCCCACTCTTGGCTGCTTGGTGTTTGCGCGTCGCTGTTCGATGTTGGTTATTGTGATTTTTGGTTGCGTTTTTTTTGTGCCTGCAGCTGCTGGCGACGTTCCTGCGGCGTTCGCCACATGCTGATGCAGGCCCTGCGCCTGGCATCGAGGGTGGCTCGGGCTAGGTTCGTCCTGCCTTTGTTGTGCCAAAGCGAGCTTTGTGCTCGCCTAGAGCCGCCCTCGGCCCCATTGCAGGAGGGCTACCATTCAGGGCAGCGGTCCGTCTACCACCGTCTTTCTGCCCCCCCATTCCCCCATTCCTTTGCTTTGGCCGGCCGTGCATCCTCGGTCATTTCGTGGCCGTGTAAGGTTGCGGGGCCAGAGACGAGACGGGGTAGAAGGAGGAGGAGGAGGAGGCGGAACAGCCGGAGGAAGTGGAGGAGGGGGAGGGTGAAGACAACTCATCAGATGAGGCTTTGCCATAACTCAGCAGCCAACACAGTTGCATTTTGTTGAGTTGCAGTTTTGGATGCAGACTTATCGATAATCCTTCGCATGATTTTCATGGTCAGCGACAATGTAAGGATCCTGGTCCACAGCCACTCTTCAGACCCTTTCAACAATCGGAACAAGCTTGGATTTCCCCGGACGGAGGGAGGAGGGATTAGGAGGAGTGATATGAGGTGTAATCGAATGGAGAAGGGAGGAGGGATTG